TTTCTTTCTTTCTTTCTTTCTTTCTTTCTTTCTTTCTTTCTTTCTTTCTTTCTTTCTTTTAAATATTTATTTATTCATTTATTTTGTATACAACAATCCTCCTATGTATACCTGCAGGCCAGAAGAGGGCACCAGACCTCATTACAGATGGTTGTGAGCCACCATGTGGTTGCTGGGAATTGAACTCAGGACCTTTGGAAGAGCAGGCAATGCTCTTACCTTCTGAGCCATCTCTCCAGCCCCAGCTGGTTTGTTTCTAGCTTTTCCAACTTAAATTATCCTGTTTCTCTTTAACTATGTTTTACCTCTCGGCTTTTTACCTTTCTTTATTCTGTATGTCTTTCTGTCCTTCTTACTCCGTGGCTGGCTGTGTGACTGGGTAACCCCTGGCAGCCTCTTCTCCATCTCCTTTCTAACTCCTCCTCTTCTCTAGAGGTCTCCTTCCATTTATTCTCTCTGCCATCAGGTCCCACCCATTTCTCTCTCCTGCCTAGCTCTTGACCATTTATCTCTTTTTTTGTTTTGTTGTTTTTGTTTGTTTGGTTGGTTGGTTTGCTTGGTTTGGTTTGGTTTTTGTTTTTTCAAGACAGGGTTTCTCTGTAGCTTTGGGACCTATCCTAAAACTTGTTCTGTAGACAGGCTGGCCTCCAACTCACAGAGGTCTTCCTGTCTCTACCTCCCAAGTGCTGGGATTAAAGGCATGTGCCACCACTGCCTGGCTGGCCATTTATCTCTTTATTAGACCAATCGGGTGCTTGAGACAGGCAGAGACAGCTTTGCAGAGTTAAACAAATACAGCATAAAGAATGTACCACATCTTTGCATCATTAAACAAATATTCCACGCCATAAATGAATGTAACACATCTTAAACTCATATTCCACAACATTTTTCCTTTCCAGTCTTTCTTTTCCCACCCTAAAATAATTCAATATGCACTGGCCAAAAATGTAAGTAAATCAAAGACTTTTATTCCATCTCTTCTCTTTAATGCCACTCTTCTTTTACCATTTAGTTTTGACAAAAGCAGCTGCATTTGCTCTTTTGCTGCTGTTCTTATCTTTTAAATTTTGCTGTTTTTATGTGTATGGGTGTTTTGCCTGTCTACATGTTTGTGAACCACTTGTGCGCCTGACACCCACAGAAGCTAGAAACGGGCTTTAGATCCTCCAAAACTCAGTTACGAATGTTTGGGAGCCTCCTCATGATTTCTGGGAACCAAACCGGGACCATGACAAGAACAGCCAGTGCATCCGTCCACTGGGCATCTCTCCAGCCCTCTTTTGTGTTTTTTTTTTCTAATTGATCCATTGGTTATTTCACATCACATACCCCAATCCCATCCATCACCCAGTCCCTCCACATCCACTCCTCATCCTTATAAGCGGCCCCAAACAGAAAACTAAAAAAGAAAAGCAATAAAAAATAAAATAAAGATTTAAAATGAAGAAAATAATAATAAATAATAAAGTGTGAATAAAAATATCAATTTCAATTAAAAACAAATAAAAAACAATCAGTCAAACAAACAAAAACACCCACTTCACCTTTCTGTCTTTCCTGTCTGTCCATCACCTCTTCATTTGTCTTGGTGGCACTGGGAGCTGCTGTGTGCCCTTTTGTCCAACAGCTTTACTTGCAAATGTTCATTGTGTGATGTGTTGTTGGTCAGGTTCAAGGCCTCTGGCTTCTATCACATCATCAATACCAGAACCCCACAGAAACTCCCTAGATATCTCACTTTTGCCCAGGTCATGTATACTGTTGGGCGCCATGGTTCTGCAGGACTAGTCCCCTCACACACCCCAGCAGGTCACAGATGGGGTAGATGTAGGAATGTGCCAGCTCAAAGCCCTGGGTGGCTGCTGAGTTGGTCAGTCCCGGCCTCTGGGACCACGCCCCTCAGGTGATGGGTGTGGTCGTCTCTCCCAAGTAAAGGCCAACAACTCTCCTGTTAGGTCCGCTTTCCTGTGTGCTGGGGGCCATTGAGGTCTGTTATCCCAGAGCCAGCCAGGGACTGGATCAGCTCTCAGGTGATGGGGGAGGCTCTCCCTGGGCCAGTAAGCGGAGGGCCAACTCAGAGAGACCCTTGTACTCATGGCTCAACACATGGCTCATAACACGGGCAACGGTCATCAACATAGACCCCAGCTGCGGCAGGATCATGACATGACCAGCAGCATCATCTTGGGCCCAGATGTCACCATGGACCCAGGTGTCAGCGTGTGCCTTTCAGATCAGCTTGGACTCAACTGCAGCCTGGTCCCAGGACTAAACATGGTCCCAGGTAGAAGGAGAGACCTGAGTGGTTACATGGCTCCTGTTGGCAACAGGAGCCAAAGACTTCACAACAGACCATGGCTGCAATAAGGCAGTGAACCCAGACATGGCCACAGCTCAGTCTAGGAGGTCATCACAGCCCCAGGTGGCAGCTCAGGCCACCTGGATCTCCATGGCCCCAAGGGCACAAACATGGCCTCAGGTGGTAACCCTGAAGCTAAGCATCCTGTGGCCTTTGTAGGAACTCGGACCCTCGACATCAACATAGACCCCAGGGATGGTAGGACCCAGACACAGTCCTCAGCAGCCCCTCAGCTGGATATCACCACGGCCCTGGCTGACTGCACAGGCCTCTCAGATCAGCATTACCAAAGCTGCAAGGTAGCCTTCAGACAATAACATGGTCCCAGATGGCAGCGCAGTAGGGTCATGGACCCAGACATGGCCCCTGGCTGGTTGCAGCTCAGTATGTATCAAAACCCTGGCCACAGGTGGCAGTG